GCCCAAGCTCGAGGAGTTCGATTCGTGGCCGGACGGCGACCTGCTGCTCCGCCCCTCCCCGCGCGCGCCCGACGTCGCCGTCACCCGCGTGCAGCGCTACCAGCCCCACGGCCACGCCACGCGCCGCACCGAGCGCCACGACGGCTGGGAGGCCGCGCAGCGCCGCTGGCGCGCCGTCGCGGCGGAGGCTGACGAGGATGACACGGCGGCGGCGGCGGACCAGGGGGCGGACGGCGGCAGCTGGGTGCCGGCGCCGGGGGCGGGGGTGCCGATTAACCAGTACATTGTGCATGTGGAGAGCGACCTGTTTGTGGGCAAGATGCTGCTCTATGTTCGCGGCCTGCCCAGCAGCTATGAGCCCTACTTTGCCGGCAAGAAGCGGCGCTCGGTGCTGATGTTCCAGGTGGGTGATGCCGCCTGCATTGCTGTGGTCGTGTATTTGATGTAGTGACCTCCCAAGGCAGGCGCTGCCGCCACCGCCCGTTTGGCGCCCATGCAGCTTTGGAGTTTTGCGGCGGCCGCGCCCGGCTAGCAGCGGCCAGCCGTTGTACCCAGGGGACGCAGCTGCTGGCTCGCGCGTCGCTACAAGTTGCCATGCCGGCGGCGTCTCGGGGTCGGCGCTGTCGACCTCGTCCCCGTGTGCACGCCCTGCCCCCTCTCAGGGCCGCTTCAAGCGCCCCGTGGGCGTGAACGACCTGGTGACTGGCATGGAGTACGACCGGCCCTACAAGAACCTGCGGGGCTGCTGGATCATGGAGAAGGTGCGGTTTGGCTGTGGTACCGAATTCGAACTGCCGATGGTAGTTTGTACTGCAGTCGTACTGCAACATGATTGTGGGGCCGGATCCTTTGCTGGAGACGCAGGGGAGGCCAAGGCCGACAGCATCCGCGCGGCGACATGGGGCGGTGACGGCCAGAATAGGGGGCCCCAAATAGGCCGTAGTGGCGTGGAGCGGTTGTGTGGCCGGCGGGCCCCGCTTTCCCAGCCCAGGTCTTGCGATTGCCCTCAACTCCCCCGGGCCCCGACCCTTCCCCGCCGCCATAATTTGGACCGTCCACAAAAAACCCACCCGCACCATCCCCTCTTAACGCGCGCGTGCACGCGGCCAGGTGGTGCTGGCGTTTGCCAAGCGCGTGGTCAGCGCGATGGAGACGGGCGACATGGCTTCTGAGCCGTTCATAACGTTCCACCTGCTGCCCCTGGCGCACGTGGTCAACGTGTCGTTGCCGGGCGAGGTGCGGGGGCAGATACGCGAACCATGCACGGGCGACCCCCTTGCTGGCCGCAGCCCTGGAATGCCTGTCTAATATGGGCTTCAATTCTGTGCGCGAAGGGTGTTGCGGCGCTCGGCGCGTTACAGTCAATGCAGCTTCGCGTGCAATTCGCCATGGCTTGTGCTGACGCAGTGGCTTCTATCTTCACTTCGCTTTTGGCACGCAGGAGCCGCCAATTGACCAGGCGCCGGAGGACCTGCGGCTGTGGGACCCCACCCTCAGCACGCGCAGCGGTGAGGCGCGCGCACTTGCTTGCGGCGGTGCCCCTCCTAAACGGTCATCTGTGGGCCTGTTGCTGCCGGGGTTACCTAGGTTTACCACACTCCTCAAGCATCTTGCAGTCCAACACACACAAATCTCACGACCCCTACCCCTCTTATCCCGCCCCCTTGATCCCTTCCTCACGAACAGGCGAGCCCATGCCCTCCGAGTCGCGGCGGCGCCACTTCATGGCGGAGCGCAATCGCCGCGCCCGCACCTTCTCGACAGAGCACGTCTGGACCTTCTGCATCTGGCAGCAGGTGGGATACGGGGGGAAACGAGCTTCAGATGGCAACAGGTTTGGGACGGCCTCTAAGGCTGCCCAGAGCGCTACTTGCGGCGCGCGCGTAGGCGGCATGCGTCTGGCTCGTCTGTTGATGCTGCTGTGCCAGCCCCATTCCCCGGATCGCGGCCGCGACACCTGGCGTCACCCATGCGTCACCCATGCGGCACCCGCGTGGTACTGCGTGCCGCAGGTCATCGACTACGCGGGTTACTACCTCGACCTGCTGGTGCAGAACTATGACGTCATCCAGCACATGGACGGCCAGCCGCTGCAGGTTTGTGGGGTTGTAAAAATTGGGTCGTGTGGCCTTGCCTGGGGCGGCAACGCATGTTTGCGACGCTGCTTGAGGCCAACCTGGTAGCGACGAGAACAGTCAGCAGCTGGCACTGGCACCGTGCTTTCGAGTGCCATGCCAGGTGCTGGGCTGTTGTGTTGCTGCCGCAGTTGAAAGCGTCTCTTGCAAGGCGCCACTCACCTTCCTGCCATTGCCTGCTCACCCGCCCCGATTGCCCCCCCCCCCTTTCTCAAATCCCTTTTGTTCACCACCAGGCCATGATGAAGGACAAGGCCAGCGGCAAGTACCTCTTCAACTTCCTCTACTGGAACAAGAAGCTGCTGGAGGGCACCGCCAGGCAGAGGGCCCTGGAGGAGGAGGAGGCGGCGCGCAAGCTCTAGTGTTTTGGAGGCGGCGTTTCGCGGGGTTGCCCACCGGCACGCGGCCGCCCACTTGACAGCCGCCCCCGCGTGCCACACGGGCGCCCCCTGGGCGGCCGGTGCGCAGGCGCAGCGGAGGTGCGGCGGCCAGTAAAGCGGCGTGCGTTTGCATGGCTTGCTCTCCTTTGGCGCCGAAGACTTCGGCAATCTGCTTCTCAGGGCACACGCTGCAGCGCGATGGAGCGTGCCTGCCGCACATGCTATTCAGCACGCGCCAGCTTGGGTAGTTGCGCGGATGCCGGAGCTGCGGGGCACGCCCAATCTATTTGTTAGCGCTGAGCCTGACGGCACGGTCCGCATGGTGGCAGTATCAACAGCAGCTTGACAGATCACGCAGACTCGAGGCGCCCGGCGAGGGTGCAGGCCGCACGATGGGTGGCCATGGGGTGAGATGGTGTTTGTGCAGGGTGATGCAAACGGCAATATTTCTATGACTGGACCAAACGACATGCACACGCTGCAGCCGCAGCTGCATCCATGGACGCGCCGAACCAGGCACGCGCCAAACCCGCGTTGTTTCCATGTTAGGCCGCGTTGCACGGCGCCCTTTTCGAATTTTGCCCTCCACGCCCCCCACCCGCGCCAGCACAGCGCCCGGCCGGCATCTGCTGCGCCGCACGCGTATCCACGCGTGCGAAATGGGCCTGATCACCATGCACAGCGACACGTGCGCTGAGAGCCGCTTTATTTCAGCGACGAGCGCTTTCTCCTTCGAGGCTGCTCGTCAGTTGCTGCACTCGCGGCCATGTCGCTGCTGTCACCGCACCTCATCCTTGACCACGTGTCACTTCCTGCAGCTCTCTGCAGCAGCGAGCCAGTGTGCCTCGCAAGACAGCTGCGGCTCCTCTTCATGGGCCGGCCAGGCAGCGCACTCGGTTCACTCTCACACAATCGGCAGGCGGTGCAGCGTCGCTGCTGAGCTTCCGAGTCTAGGGTTTGATAGCTTTGGGCACAGCTGCTGCCGGCGAGGCATGTGCACTGAAGGGGCAGCAAATTGAATGTGGGTGTGTGCATGACGTGTATGTTAAGCAACCGTTCTCGAGGCCCGGCATTGGTCTAGCACCGCGCTGTGAGCAAGGGCGTGCTGACCTGGCCAGAACTCCGACGAGCTAGCTTCCAGCCCCAGGATGGGAGTTGACCAGTATGTTGACCCAAATGCTTTTGGACTCTGCTTCCATTGCTTTTGGTTTTGAAGCAGTGTTGAACAGTGCGATGATAGTAACATTGCTAACTTTCTTGTGAGGTAGCGATATCTCATGGATTGAACGAGCATGTACCTGAAGACAGGGTTACTTTGGTGCCACTCCAATACGCAGCAGCACGAATAAAAAAACACTCGCCAATCGCCACACTACAATACGGCATGACATTGAACGCACTTTGCCATACATATCACACACCAACGCCAACGCCCAACAACCCAAAAAGCTGCTGCGCGTACGTGTGCGGAATTCTCTTGCAACCCTGAGCAGAAGCCCATCTGCACCTGCTGCTGGAGTGGTGCAGTGCATAACGGCACGGCGCCGCATTGCACACCAGATTTGATCCGAGGCTTGTACCGCTGATTTGATGCAAGGCACATTATTGTAACGTATGTCAGCGAACGGCGTTGCCTGGCCCATTAGTGGACGCCTGGTCCATCGGGGCGGTGTGCTTCAGCGGTCTAGGCTGACAGCAGCCGACCGGCGTCCTGTACGAGTTCACAGGGTAAATATGTCTTTGATAGAGCATCGCTCGACCACTCATTGCGCTGCCATGGTTGCCCCTGTCAGCTGATGCAGACCAACTGCATCCTTCTGTGCTTGTGCCGCTGCTGCTGCACTGTCTCGATGACTGAGCGGTGCACGTTTCGTTGTGCGCGCATCAACTGCAGGTTGGCACTGCAACATCTTGCAGCAGCAGCAGCAGCAGAAGTGCAGGCGGCGCCCCGCAGCCAATTCCTGCACAGGTGCTTGCCCACGCGGACATTATCAGCCAGGGCACATCCGCCTTCGCTGGAGTGACAGGGAACGCAAGATACATGGGCCCATGTTGCCGTCCAAAAGCATGCATGACTGCTGCAAATTCAATGTGAAGTTGCCACTCAGGCAGCTGCCTCGTGTCTCGCCGTGCCCGCCTGCCTGGCGAACCTGCCCAGCAGGACGCGAGCCGGATGAGCAAATTGCTGCAAAACTTCAATGTCGCTGGGACCACGCTCTTCTTTCACATCCTGACGGTGAGGTGCGGTCTGAGAGGGCGCCATGCCCGGTCATGGGGCTGGCAGAAGTTGGCGGTTGCGAATTTGCGGGTCGGCGGGCGTGTCCCGCCCCTTTACTTGCAAGCACCATTCCTATGCATGGCCGTGAGATGCTGTCGTTCTGCGTGGGAATGCATCCTGACGCATGCAGCACCCAAATCTTTGCCTGATACGCACATCACACAACGAACACAACACATACTTACGCATATGCATTTTGCTTGATGAATTTCCACAATTCCTTGCCGCCACCGATCACGCAGAGCGAACAGCAGCTTGCCGTGCCGCACCTCTCGGTGCGCGACCTCCGATGGATTGACTGGTCTGCCCTGAAAGCTGCGGGCTTCAAGGCGTGCGTGTTTGATAAGGACAACACGCTGTGCGAGCCTTTTGCAGTCGACATCGATCAGAAGCTTCGCGGATCCGTGGAGGCGTGCAGGGCGGCGTTTGGCGGGAAGCTAGCCATCTACAGCAACTCGGCCGGGCTGCAGCAGTACGATCCAAAGGGTGAGCACCATTATGATACCCCTACTGTAGCAGCGCGTGGGGCATGATCTTTGCATGGTTACTTGATGACGCGGATGTTCGCATGGCTGCCTCGTGGCTGCCGCTCTGCCGAAGGCTGGGATAAGGGTATGGGTTAGGGCTGCCGCCCTGCTTGCGTGGTGAAGCCCCTTGCGCCTGGGGCGGGCGGCCGCAGGTGAGGAGGCGGAGGCGCTGGAGGCGGCGTTCGACATCCATTGCCTGCGTCACCGGGACAAGAAGCCGGCCGGCAGCTGCGACGAGCTGGAGGCCCATTTTGGGTGCGAGTTGCTGGGTTGAGGAGGGAGCACGGGGGCAGGGATTACCCATCGCTGCCGGGCAGGTCACACGCGCCTCGACCCAGCGGAGTGCAAAAGACATGCAAACGCCGGTTGCACACGTGCTCACTCACTCACTGCCCCTGGTCCCCACTGTTGCCCTTCGCGGCCCTTGGTGCCTGCTGTTTGCACAGCTGCCCGGCGTCTGACGTCATTTTTGTGGGTGACAGGTACCTCACTGACGTCGTCTTTGGCAACCGCCACGGGATGCTGACCGTGCGGGTCGCGCCGATGACGCTGCGCGGCGAGCCGCCGGGCGTTTTGATCGCGCGGCGCGTGGAGGAGTGGTGCGTCTCGCGGTGGAACGCGGCGGGCGTGAAGGCGCCGCCGCACGCGCGGCTGCCGGCTAGCAGGGCGCTCGAGGCGCTGACGGACCCTGCATCTTCTGAGCGGCGGTAGCGGCGGGAGGTATTGTTGGACGGTGGCGCTC